AAGGAAAAAAAATCAAAGAAAAAAGGAAAAAAATCCGTACAATGTGTGATTCGATCCCACTAACTTATGGTTTGCAAGGCAGTACCTTACGGCACCTTTCAGCACCTAACGGCACCTTTCAGCACCTAACGGCACCTTTCAGCACCTAACGGCACCTTTCAGCACCTAACGGCACCTTTCAGCACCCTAATCGGCACTAGGTGCTGCTTTTTCCCCCTTGGTCCATGTCCATCAGTTTGTCCATGAAATGTTCGCGTTTTTTAAATACGTTTTGCGTATGAGAATTAGAGACCTCCATGGACAATTTTTTTTTTGTCCATGTCCGTCCATGTCCATCTAATGCAGGGCTCTAACTTGAACTCAATACAAAGTTTATGTGAAAAACTTCAAGCAAGTAGGAAGGGATTCTTCAGCTTAGTAGCTTTACGTGACGTATTTATATTGTACAGCAACTAACACTTTTGGGCACTTGTTAGTTAAAATATGGCACACAGTGATATGCTAAGAGGATCATTACATAAATCTTGATGGCTGTTTCTCTTCTAGTCTGACCTTCGGTTATAACTAGAAAGTTAAAAATTTTCTATACATCTGCCAAACAGTATGGCTGAGCATAGCATGTGTCTCCTTAATTTACTATAAGATATATCTAAAGCTCTTTGTCTACTGATCGTTCAAATCAGGTATATTTTATATAACAAAAAAACGCATAACGGAAACAACATAAACAATAGCATTAAAATAAAAACTAGCGTTGTTTGGTCCTTTTCATTTTCATATTTCCACCTCCTTTGGTTGCTCCTTTGGTTGCTCCTCCACGTTTCTTGTTTTTATAATTCGTACGTCCAGCCTTTTTCATTTGACGTGCACGTTGTAATGAATCTTTCTTACGTTTCTCGTTACGTTTTTTTAGAATTTGGTCTGGACGTTTCAATTCAGATCGACGAGGATACTTTTGTTCCTTTCCGTTTTCTCCTTTTTGTTTATTCATCAATTGTTTTACACGTTGTTGAAATTGGCCTAGAGAAGAAAAGTTACGAGTCATCATTTTATCAGATAAAACATTATGCGGGTATCTTACGAGGTTTAGCTTCAGCTGTTGATTCCTCATGTCGATTTTGACTGAATGGACGTTGTTGTCTATTTCTATGATTTTTATCTGAATGATTTTTATCATTCTGATTCCCATCTTTATCAATGAATTTCGATTTATCCAGCCATTTTTTATAGCTAAACCGAGTTAAAGAATAAACTAATGACTTACTGTATTATCGCTACAACATTAAACAGAGCGAATATAAAGGATACACATCTGATTTATATGATGCACGGATCCATTGACCACTTTCTGTTTTGATTTTTTTTCCTTTTGTTTCACTGTCAACAACATTCACAAATTTTTTCTTTTTCCTATCCCTATAAATATAAAGAAATTAGGATATAGAAAGATAATAGGAATTATGGATACTTACCATTTTGTTTTTTGCATTTGGTGACGAATTTCAACTCCGTCATCGTTATTAATATCCATCACAACTTGATTGGCTTGTCGCTCAAACGATTGTATTTCCAAACTAAAAATAAACATTCGAGTTTAAATCGAACAGAAAACGGAAAGTCAGATAAATAATCTAAGCTAAATTGAATGAGTTCACATAGTGCAGCACTCAATCAAGTTGTGAAAAAATTAGGACGAAATACCCTCTTTCTTTACTGAAATCAGGTGGTTGATAAGGTATAAAATAGTCTTTATTAATCTCTCGTCGACAATATTTTTTTTTCTTTGGGCTGAATTCTGATTCATAATCATCGGCTTCATTTGCCTGTATTGTAATTGTCATATTATCCATCTATACGGAATAAATACACTCATTCTAATATATACCGTTTGTTAATCTCGAGAAAATAAATACGAACTTGAACGGTTTTACTAGTTTCATTTTCGTCATTCTTTTGTATATTCTCATTAGTTTTGTCTGCCAATTGTTGATCATGTTTTAAAATTCGTTTCTCATCACGCAAACGCTTTCGTTTCATTACTGCACATGCAGTATTGCCCGGTGACGGATTCACTTCAAATATCGTCTAAATATGTACGCAAATATAAAGAAAGGAAAAGTGTTTCATTTCGTTTCACGTACATTTTTCGCGCGAAAATGTTTCAGTTGAGCAGCGAGCGTGTTTGGATTTATTTGATCAGTAAAACCAGACTGACCTAGTTAAAAAATACAAAATAAAACTAAATTTTGCGATATTATTCAGGTACGTACGAAAAATTGGATGAATAGCCATTGTTAATAATTTAGCATTAAATTCTCTAAGTTGTTTGATCGATTCAGTCGATGATACTGGTCTCGAACGTATATAATGTTGATAGGCATTTTGTTGTACTTTAAACAAATTCATCTAAAGAAGAAAATATTCAAATTGAGTAGAAGAGTATAAACTAATACATACAAGATCCACAGATGTTTCCGAAAGTCTTTTGATTGTTTCTAGTTCTTCATCGATAATTGTCTGTGGTACATTTCCAAATACAAGATGCCAATCTAAATAAGATGTTCTTATGAGAGTAAAACAAATGATCAATTTGTATATAAGTACCTCCGTTGACATCATCTGTATCTTGAGTAATATGTAACGATTTTCCAATGAAACTTTGTAGATCAAATAAATAAGAAAGTTCATCAGTTGATACAAAAGAGTAAGCTGTACCAAATCTTCCAGCACGAGCAACACGACCTAAAAATAGGAAAATATAGTTGAAAAACCACGATACACGCTACATATTCTCAACCAGAAACATCTTTGTCTCAAATTTAGTATCAACTAGAGATGGGTATTAAAACGATTAAGAGCCAATAATTTGATTAGAATATTCTTTTTTAAATTAACAGCAGCCGTAGACTAAACTGAAATCTATTCTATTAAAAAAGATCTGACGTTTCGACTCTTCATAGAGTCATTTTCAAAGAATATTACAGAACATTATTGTACTTTACGCATGAAATGTTGTGAAAAGGAAAAAGAATTTTGTCTGTAGAATTTTGTCTGTATTGCGTGTTACTTGTAGACAGATTGTTCTGTAATATTCTTTGAAAATGACTCTATGAAGAGTCGAAACGTCAGATCTTTTTTAATAAAATAGATTTCAGTTTAGTAGAGATATGTAATTTCTGATTGAAATTAACTATTAACAATTCATCAAGGAGAGAAACGACTCACCAACCCGATGGACAAATAATTTTGCCGTTGATGGAAAATGATAATTAACAACATTATCTAAACATGGAATATCCAGCCCACGTGCTGCTATATCTGTTACGACCATCACACGTGTTCTTCCTTCTTGATATTTTGAAATATTTATTTTTCGCAATTCATGATCCAATGTGCTATAAATTGTGACACATGAAAATAATTCTGTTTGTTGTTGTTGCTCTAATAATTCTTTTAAATATTCACAGTGATGTCTTGTTGCTACAAAAACAACAACTTGTTGTTCACGCGGAATTATAGAACGTAGTAGATAGAGTAATAATGCTGTTTTATCATCATGTCTCAAATGGAAGAATGCTAGTGTTAAATTATCATTTAGTTTCATTTCGACATCTAGACGTATTAATTCTGGTTGATATAAACCAGCTTTAGCAAATTCAGCTAGAATTTTTGATAATGTTGCTGAAAATAATAATGTTTGACGTTGTTCTGGTATACGTTTAATAATATCACGTAATTGTTCCTGAAAACCCATTTCAAATAATCTACAGACAGACGAAATATTAGTCACTTAATATATCATGAAAGAAAAAAAATTACCTATCAGCTTCATCAAAAACAAGATATTTGACATCATTCAATTTCAAATTCATTTCAATGCAGATGTGCATAAATCGACCAGGCGTGGCTATGATTCTAAATATAATTAAAATCATAAATAAGGAAGAAAATTTCAATTCATCTGTTCGAACTACTTACATGTCTGGATGAGCATGTAAATTACTAAATTGTTCTTCAATTCTAAATAAATACAAGAAAACAATAAAATTGTCAAAGAAAAGGCTAACGCATACTTTTCACCACCGAGGACTGCTGTTGCTATTAAATCTGTAAAACAACTTAGCTAAATTATAAAAATAATTAAATAACAGATCCAATAAGATATTTACAGTAAAAAAAGAAAATTAGTTTTACTCAGTAGAGTGTAAACTAAATCATGTTCAGACACCGTGAAAATCAACGATGTTACCAAAGTTTCTATGAATAGATCATTCATTCATCTTATCAACTACTGGCACAGCTTTGACATAATAAATCTCTAAGGGTAGAAAGAATCGACTTTCTTTTTCATTGATACTGTCTGTTCTAATTGCTTATCGTGAACGCAGTGATAATTATACCTGTTTTGTGAATTTTAATGTTTGAAGAGCAAGTTCTCGAGTTGGTGATAATATAAGTGCTCTTGCTCCCGAACTTGGATCGTGTCCTTTTAGTTTTTCAAACATAGGAATCAAAAATGTCGCCGTTTTTCCACTTCCAGTCCGTGCCATAGCTACAATGTCTTTTCCTTTCAATATCATCGGAATGGCCTGTAAGATAATCAACAATCAATAAAGGACACAAATCAATGAACGGCGGCATACCTTTCTTTGAATTGGAGTTGGAACTTTATAACCACGTTTTAATACGCCTTTTAAAACAGTATACGATAGACCTAAATATGAAAATATATGTTAGTTTTCTTTTCTCAAACTGACAAAAATCATGTGTTTTACCCATCGATTGAAAACCACCGGATTTATTTGTTTTTTTCATTTTACTACGTTTTGGCCTATTTGAATTTTCAAAATCGCGAATAAGTTGATCCATATTGTTATCGCTTTGATTACCACCATCATTATCTGAATCTAAAAGAACAAAATATATTTTCAAATCAAAGTATAAAGCAAAAACTAGTATCCTTACCCAACATTGCAGAATCTTTTCCGCTTCTTTTGTTACTGATTTCTAATCACTTCAATCTGTGACATAAACGGACAACAATCTAGAATATACTCAAGTATAGAAATGAAAATAAACAGATCAATTTGATAAATCACTAATGGAATAGTAAATAGCTTTTGAAAATAGGACTGTTTTATAGTCTAGCGCATCAATTGAAGGGCGGTAAAGATAATTCTAAATAAGTCACTAAAACTAAAGTTACGAACAGGATGTTCCAATTAGTCAAGATTGACTTTCAAGTTTGTTTCTTCCCTGTTACAAACCATCATCTATCTAGTCAGTTCTCATGATCGATAATGAATATTCACTTGAAAGAGGTTAAAGATCCTCCCGAACTACAGAAAAATGCGGAATATTGTACTATAGAATCGATTTTTTCTCTCCTGCTTCATAGAAAAATAAAATTGAATACGAAATATTTTTGTAATACATCGCCGAGTTTTAGAAAACTTTGATGCTGTATTACTAGCAGAATCGTTGAAGCTAAATGTAGAAAAAAACGCACTCGAATGTCAATACTATAGAGAATATATACATCGTTGATACATGAACATCCAGTAGTGACCTAATAAGACATAACTATATAAAAATGAACAAGGCATATTTGCAGAAGTATTTCAATTTTCGATTACTTCATCTAGACATATATTTCTTGAGTGTTTTACCATCGAATCTTAAAAGTTATAATTTTTGTTTATTTAGCGAAAAGAAAACATACTGAAGTAAATAAAGAAGTGCATGCATATAAGAAAAACCACAATAATCAAAGAGAAAATAAAATCAACAAGATAAATATGGTATTGATTTCAAAAATTTAATCGTTGTACAACTTTTATACTAGGGACAATGAATTTTCTTTATAAAAATTTACTGTAAAAATAGGTTTACGTATTCGACTCTTTATTCATACAAAACTGACTTTGTTTCGATTAAATTTTAGAATACTATGATGAGATTACTCGTACTTCTATTCTGGAAGAATAAAGCTTAGATCATGTCAATCGCTATTGCCGAATACAAAAATAGTAAGCGAAAATAGTTATAATCGCGTACTTGCATTTACTGATTAAAAAAAAGAAAATAGAATGTATATACTGCTGAGACAGGCAGGTAAGAAATAATTCATTAGAAAACAACTACAATGTTTCATATTGATCTATGTATTTTAGTGAAAACGATATCGAAGCCGCATTAAGTTAAAATAAAGTAATTGTAAATGAAGAAAGAGCTGGTAATGGCTCGATATTGTCCAAAAATGTAGCGTTTGTGTGGAAAGCAACAGAACTATTTTATCATTATCATAATAGAAAAGAACATTTTAAAAATTACTCTACGACAAGAGAAGAACTTCAAAATCGAATTTGACAATTGCTCATTTCATCGAAAAGAAAAAAAGGTCGAATAAACATTTTTTTTCTTCAGACACTATAGTAGCATCCTAGTTTCAATGATTATTCGGCTGGAACATTGGACAGAGAATAGCATAAAATATCTGCGCGTTACCAGAATGTACGATAACAAATATGAATGCAATGAATAAACAAAGAAAAAGGATAACAAACAAAAAAGTAACCATACATAGGCTAAGCGGAATGTTAAGTAAAATAGTAAAAAATTGTCTTTGTTCTATTTAGTCATTTTTGCATTACGTATTGCTAGTAATACAAGAAAAAAATTAATAAATCTATCTAATCTTGGTCTTTACGTCCATATTTTAATATTTTAACAAATTCTTGATAATCGAATAGGCCATGCTTAATTGGTGCTTCTTTGAATAATTCGTCAACTTCATCTTCGGTATAACGATCACCAATGGTCATTAATAGTTCACGTAAACGTTCTTCTGAGATTTTACCTACAAAAAACATTATGATGGAATCATATTTTAGAGATTAGGATTAATACGTACCATTGCCATCTTCGTCAAAACAAGCAAAAGCATTTTTAATAACATCCTCTGGATCAGTACCAGTTAATTTTTCGCCAAACAATGTGAGAAACATGGTAAAATTAATATCGCCAGGTGCTTCTCGTATCATTGCATCGATTTCAGCATCAGTAACAACTTTACCTAAAAAGAAATCAAGAATCAGCTAGAAAGCGTGTTATAGAAGATCTTCGGTTATAATACCTAATGATGCAAACATGTCCTTTAAGTCGTTACCATCAATAAAACCATCACGATCATGATCAATTATGTTAAATGCTTCTTTGTATTCTTGAATTTGTGATTGATCAAACATAGCAAAGATGTTTGATGTTGCACGTTGTTGACGCTTTTTGGGTTTAGCTTTCCTTGATGATGCCATATTTTTATGTTTAATATCTAATACTTAAACAGAGAATAAAAATATTTTTGAACGCTGACAAAATATGACCGCCTGAAGATTGATAACGAATCTATACGAATGTTGAACAGCACAAATGCGTTAGATAAAACATATGCAACGTGAAGGAAGACTGATGGGTGAAAAATAACGCCTTCGCTCATAAATAAAAAAAACTTTTGATCTACACTATAACAGCTTTACGTCGTCATCATTCTAAATCTATTCGTCTCCCTTCACGCATTAATGGTTTTCTCCTCAAACAAGATCTTCTCCTTCCTTTTATACGATCAACAAGTTTAAAAAATTCTGATTTAACGAGCTTATCATTTTATAGGTCAGGAATCTTTGGTGAGCTCACATATTACATGAATAAATGATTATTATTATATGATGATTATTACCACTCATACCACAGTGAAGAAGTCTTGTCTATGAGATCAGTATTTTTTTTGCATAAGAATTGATAGTACAACTTGAGTCAAGAAGCAGACGAAATTAATAAAAATTGAAATATCCTATGTGGCAATACTTGACAACAAATAAATTCATAGTGGTGTACACCTTATGAACGATGCGTAAACGTTGCTAAACTCGTTTCCTTAGTTATAAGCATAAAAGGATTGTGTATAAAAATCATATCAAATTGACCGCGTGAAGGAGATTAATTCCTTATGATATGGGCACAAGTGAGAAAAAAGTGTATTACACGCTTTCGCATTTTTTGCTGCTCTTTCCCCTGGTGTACAAATAGTATATATTTCGATAAATCATAAAAACGAAAATGCAGTGCTGTGTAAAATAAAGATAAAAAGTTAAGTTTTCCGATCTGATTGGTTGAGTCGCCATCTTCATCAACCAGATCGGGCAATTTATCTTATCTTTATTTTACATAGAGCCGAAAACGTTAAACGAAATTACACTGACTTTTGTTTAAAACTAAACGTTCCATCCAATGCATTTTTTCATTCAAAAAAGGAAAAACAGGTGCACAATATGTCTCACTTGTATTCTTAAGGTCAAGATAATTTAAATGCAAAAGTTCAGTGAAAAATCCTGCGTATTTTTTATGTTGATTCTTGAATTTTGTGTTTATCTTGATCCGCCCATATAATATACCACTAATATTGGCCAAATGAATGAGTAAATGCAATTCCAAAGCGATGATTCATAAAACGTCTCACCTAATTAGTTGTCTGGGGAAGCGAATCAAAACTGCAATATTTATCAGCGCAGAAATGCATTGTGCAAAATCTGATATATAACTAACATTATGTCGTTCGACTTTTGTGCAGTAAGGATCTACAGACATTTATCAGCCGCGTACTCGAAAGGATATTTACGGAAACAACGAACATTCACTTGGTTAATTAATTAATCAGCGTTTGTCGTTTTATTATGTTGCTCTGCCCTTAATAATTTATATTAGTAAGTCTTAGAAAGTCAAACACTTCCGGTAATAAAGCTACGCTACACGACCTAGTCAGAGTTTCGGTAGAAAGCAAATATTCAGTTGAGATGACCGTATAGTTAGAGAGTCCATGGAGTCTACTATCATAGTCTCTATTACTGTCAATCCTGTCAAAGGTTTATAATAGAAACCTTTGAAAGTCCTTAAAGGACTTTTTTAAAATTTTTGAAAAAATGAGTAGCTCTCCGTGTAGAGCAAAAAATTTGTGTATATGGATACCATTTTGCTTAAAGCTATGGCAAATTCTGAAATAAATCCCAAACTTTCAAACCTTCTCATAACGATATAATAGTACTCGTCCAAGATCTTCAAAATTCATTTTCCATCATCATTTTTTTGGTCCAATCTAGTATGAAATATATTTTTCAGGTATTACTATTTGTAAGTAGATGCAGAACTACACCACTTTTTGTTTTTTAGGTAAATTCTAGAGTGAGCTCTAGTTTTTGACTTTGAGAGTGAACCTCTTGGAAAGTACATGTCAACTTTTCCGGATATTTTTTTTTAACGTAAAAAAATATCCGGAAAAGTTAACTAATATTTAACTTCCCGATACAACATATTCACAAACTGATGTTGAAAACTTATTCAGCATGTGAAGTTTTCATAATGAATTATTCTTTTTGTTTTTGTTTTGTTGCTGATTACCCAAATTAGGAATCACTGGAAGTAATTGAAATATTTCTGAAAGAGAAAGAAAGAGACGAGCTGTGAATAATGATCTCCGGCTATTTGAATCAAAGTAAAGTTATTTAAATGGAAGTTTTGATTTTGAAGCTTATCAAGTCATATTACCATCGTTAAGTTACCATTATATAGATGTGTTAGATGATTGTGTGAAAGATGATGATGAGTATGAACTAAAAATATGACTCTTTTGTTTGTTGTGCTTTCTTATGTTATAATATTCTGTAAATTAAAAACAGTGTTCAAAATGTATGAAAAGAACCAATTCTGTATTCCAAATTGAGAACAATTTCTTAATCTGGTTAATAAGAATTAAAAACAGGTAGTGTTAATCTTGAAGAAGCCAACAAGGATTATAAATATCTTTTGAAAAAGTTTCTATGTACTTTTCGTCCAATTTCCTTCCAAAGTCAAAAGAAAGGTCACTGTAGAATCTATTGCAAAGAAACGAAAAGTACTGTAGTCGTGCTTACTGAGTCATTC